CGAAAGCCTTAAGTGCCTGAGAGAGGTAATTTTACCAATAATTTCTTGTTACCGTACCGCATTGAGCAAAAGACCCCCTTTCTGAGTACCCCCATGCAAGAGATCGGGTATTTTACATGGTATATTTTTTTCACCAAGTATAATACCCGGGTATTTTGCAGTTATTTAATATAGGATTTTGTAAAAGACCCGGGTATATTATATTTATTTGTATCAATGTCATATAAACATTTGGCAAACTTATATTCCATAGGCCATTCTGTAGATAGACTATTATCAATTTGATCTTCATAACCTTGAGTAAAGTCAACGGACCATTCTATTGATGGATTATTATAAACATTTGGCGAATTTATATCATTTTGATCTTGAGTAAAGCCTACAGTCCATTCCATAGATTATATTGTTATTAATATTTGGCAAGCTTTCTTCACTATACATGATATAGCTAATTAAAATACGTTGATTGTAGACAAAATGACTTTTTTGTTTTCAAATTCGGTCGATTTTTATATAGAATCCGTATTTCGATCAGTGCTTAAATTTCCGAATGATGTAACATGCTTTTTTGTCGGCATTATTTTTTTTAATCAGAGGTTCAGATATAACAACGTAAATTTTCTGACTGATGAAAAGTCAAGTGTACTCTGGTTTCGATATAGAATATTCGAATTTGTGTAAAACATTCGAGAATTCTGCCATAACCAAAAGAATATATTTCTAGAATAGCATTCTAGAAATTCCACATGTAGGAGTTAGACAGTTTGTACAAATTACACAAAAAAACTAAGTTTCTAATGTGATGTATATGAAATAAATGTAACGTGCATCGCAGTCCTCCGTAATTCATAACCCGCTTTATATTGGCTTTATTGTTTTATCGCGGTTTGCAAAATGATGTATCTTTGATCAAATTTTGCAGATTGCAGTTCACATGTACAATTACTTGATTGTCGTTCGATTGCGCGATTGTAAAATGATTTTATCCAGTATTAATAAAATAAAATATCTTTATAATTTATGGCTTTCTTATATCCATATTCCAGTCTCAAAATAATACCTATATTCTCAAAAACAATTTGCAACAATCAGAAGATTGCAGAGGTGCAGACATTTAGAATTTTGTTTGGAGGTAGCTACCCCAGCAAAATATCACGGCGATACGGCATATTTGCCGTATAAGTAGAAGTGCCGTATGTCGTATAAATGCCGTCGTATAAGTGTTGTATGTTGTATGAATAACATATGCCATCATTATTAATCGGTGGATTAAAAAAGTGATTCATGTTTACAAACACTTATTTACTACTAACTAATACCCTTCAGACTACTATTCTATTCGATCAAATATATAATATTTGACGATGATTAAAATGGTAACCTAAATACGGCAAAAGTTTACATTGTAATAAAAACACCATGTTTAAAGCATGGTGTTTGGCATGAGATCACGACAAGCAAAAATAAGAATATTAATGATTTCATCAGAGAATTTCAGCAATCAGATCCTTCAAAAATAACCTCTATGTTCTCGACATTAACGCTCATGGGCGTCCCGAATTAACGCGCATCCTAATGTAGCACATAATTTATTTTGCGATAAATGATATACAGTCGACACTCCATATGTTCACTCTCTATAAGTGCATTTAACATGCACTTTCCCTATAATGACAAGTACTCATAATTTGATCGGTCTAATGTAATTATTTTAGAGTTCCAATCCATTAAGCATTTATCTGGATAGCTATCAGATATCCGGATCTGGATATCCATTTATTATCCATTACTATTGATGGATAAGTACTATTTATTTCCCGCAACGGCGGGAATAAGCGGTCATCTGGGCCCGAAGGGCCCACAGTAGGGTGGAGATCTACCGGGTTATTTCCCCGTAGCGGCGAAATAAGGGTATTATTCTTCGTTTTTATATGATGTCATGACGGGCTTTACGACTCATAATCACTACTTTGATCAATAAAAAAAATCGAGTTTCTAGCAATGTTTGTTATTTTCTCGGTAACGATTGTTATTTCCCCGGAAGTCCGGGGAAATAACAAGCGTTGCCGGGGAAATAACAAACATTGCTAGAAACTCGATTTTTTTACTGATTAAAGTAGTGATTATAAGTTGTAAACCCCGTCTTGCGATCATATAGAAACGTGGAATAATTATCTGTATACCTGTCGGATTATATCTGAATTATTCAGATAATTAGATACGGATAAACGGATGACCAAATTATATAGATTATGCTCCATAAATGAATACTCTATAAATACACTTTTACCTAAAAACATGCAGTTATGGAAGGTAATGTTGTTAGCCGAAACTGTTTTTGAGCTTGTAGAAATATTTCGGCATTTGATATTTAGTCTGCCGAAATTCTAAATAATGTCAAAATGTCTAATTAATGTCGAAATGTCTAAATTAAAAATATATATATAAACTTTTTATTTAGCAAGTATTTGAACTTAATTATTTTGTGGATTTCATACTATAAAATAAATTAATCCAAAAACGGTTGATTGGCAGATTTAATTATATTTACTTTTCTAAACGATATCCGCTTGAAAAATTTCCCACATTATACGTGCTTTTTTCACAGTACTCACTATGCTAAATGTTTATAACTTGAATCTGGGTTACTATCAATTAAAAATCAGTTACTTCTAATGTACAAGACCTCTCTATCACTTATTTAGACATTTAGTCAAATTAGAATTTTGACATTTCGACAAAATATAATGTCATGTCGAAATATACTTCGACACAAAATTGTCTAAATATTTGACTTAATAGGGTATTTCGACTAACAACATTAATGGAAGGTTGACTGTATTGGATTTAGAAAATCTACTCTTATTTCGAAATAACGTGCAGGTTCAATTAATTAGTGCAGATGGGCTTTTATATGGTTTCTAATGTTAAAGAAATTGGCAAAATAAGGATTTGGTTAAGTATATTCAGCAACTTGGTTGGATGTATAATTAAAACGCGTGAACCATCTCGTATGATTTTTTTGTGTTTTCTTGAAATTTGATTGGCCAGTGAAATTTTTTAGGGTAGCAACATACTACATCACTCACGACGACAAGATAACCTCGGGGTAGTACGACCTCTACGTCATAGCTGTAATGCCGTCTACTCTGAGAAATGCCTGCATCATTAGATGATTGTATGTGTTAGCTGTCTGCAAAATTTAATCAAAGATACATCATTTTGCAAACCGCGATAATTGATTGCAATTGTTTATGCATAATAAAATTTAATTTCAATTAATTTTTCGGTATTCCAGATTTTATATTTTTTTCACCTAATGCAAAAATTCAACAGCAGCAAAGACGTAATGCAGAGGATTTCTGATTATTAGACAAAGGAAGGGTGATTATTTTTGAGAACGCTTTCATATTACACGCGTCATCTTTTGTTTTATTTCATTATATCTCATTTAAAAGATCCGTATGAGGCTGTGTAGCCGAATACTGCTGTTTGTGGTGATAAGTTATTTATGAAATTGGCAAGAAAATTAATAGCTATATTAAAGTTCGAGTGCCAAGGCTTTAGATACCAAAGCTTCAGATCTAATTGGGTAATTGCATTCTTTTTCGGAGCTGTAACGATGACGATAATAGCTCATAATCCTTGTACCAATTGATAGTAACGCTTGAGCATTACCTCAATCACTAGTTGATTACATTGAGGAGGATGCTTGAGAACGGTTCTAATCAACTTATTATATTACCGTGATATCAGACCCCCTATGTACTAGACCCGGGCGTGAAACTCAAAATCTACAATAATCAAATGCGGTTTTTTAAAAATATCTAGACTGCCCACTATGAATGAAAATATGCATGCTTTTTAAATTTTCTTTCTAATGGTAAAAACTTTCCACCATGTACTAGACATTAGGTTTTAATATTGGTGGGGTGTAAGAGATCCGGGTCTTTTATACGGCAGTTTACGGTACTCAGGGTTTTGATATGCAAAAACTTTGTTATTTGACAAGAATGCTAATGCTGTAATTTATGTTCTTTACAATGTCTGTCCTTCTTTTACACAATATTATTATAGTGTTCAGAATTGATTCTTATCTATTGTTACTTAATACGTAAGTTGTAGGAATTTTATGTCTATAACTTAGGGCATATAAAATTTATATGGCCTAATATAAATGCTTAAAAAATTTAAAATCTTCATAGTATATATTATTATTAAATCGATGCAATTTCATTTTATTTATTATTTAATTAGTTCTACACGATAAAATATTATTTAACATAGTATAAACGCCTAACTTTATCGTATTTCAGCGCAATAACGACCATCGAAAATCCATCACCTGAAGATGGCATGCACGGCTTCGAAATGACGTCCATGCGCGTCCCGAAATAACGCGTATGTTTGGATCTATGTAAAATTAACCAATTACATAAACGTCTTCTATGTCGCCTTTAGTTCAAACAAATACACATTGCGCGTACTCGAACAATGCAAATATATTCAAATAACGCGCAGGTAGGAATTACGCGAAAATACAGTATAATTTTAAATTATATATTCCGTAACCACTAGTTATATTTATCAGACCAGCTATCATATAGGAGGAGAACCAAGTGATAAATAATACTTTTATAGTAATATACAATGTTGGTTATACGGTTTTTATATAAATCAAAGAAATAAAGTTACATAATCGAAATTTATGTCAATTTGTAAATTTAATCAGAATTGAACTTAAATTTAGAACCGTTACAGAAAAAAAAATTTTTAAAAGTGACCATCTTTTTTATTATACAAAATTTCATATAATCACTAAAAATATAGACTAATAATTTTCCAATTACAGTAGTGAATATTTGTACATTTGCAAAGCTTTTTTTTTTTTTTTTACAAATTAATCTTATAAATGATTAAAATATTCAAAAATTATTATTTTTACATTATAATTATGTATTTTTGTAATTTTAAAAAATTTATACACAGATGTTTAAGACTTAATAATTTTTAATCCAATCGTTAGTACAAGAACCCCACTGGTCATCTATATTATAGAATAAACAATTCAAATAATTTAATATTCAATTTAATATTGAGAATAAACGGATATATATATATATATTGACATACCAAAATTGCTAGCGGGATCACAAAAACATCTACCAGCATTATGATAATCTGTATTAATTGGGCAATGCTGAAAAGGTGGATGTGAGTATCCTATATCATTGAAGAAATGAATTTTTGATCTTTCCAGGAATAGAAGTAACGCTATTGAATGAACTGGTGCATCACCCCAACTTTTTAGTAAATATATATGAAAATGATAATAAGTAATACATATTAATTAATGAGGTCAATATAAAAGAATTCTTAAATAGTTGTTAACAACATTAATCTACCGTTCATAATAAAATCCACCAGCTTGATCTAGAAAATCAAAAAAATTGAGATATTTTTCGCTTCTGAAAAAATTCAAATCACCAATCTCAAAATTACTCCAAAAATGGCAACTATTTAATAAAAGAATTTTTTAAGGAGTTGAATATTTAACAAATTAACATAAAAGTAGATAAACATAGTGTTCATCACGATCAAGCAAAAAACTTGACGGCCAAGCACTTAATCAGGTCGGATATCAAATAATCATAGATCAAATCAATTATATATGTTGTTGATTTAATTGGATTAGAATTTTAGGGTAGATATTATCATATTAAACCTATACCATAACCTTATTTTAACTAAGAAATTTCGAATCCACTTAAATCCTGTTTCTACTTACAGATGTACGTGTTACATACCAAATAACTGATTGATTTAATATCCGACCTGATCAGATATTTGCCCGGCAAGTTTTAACCTGATTGTGCGAGCACAAAGATAAGCATAAAGTACAAACCCGTTATATGTAGCCATCTCATCTCCCGTTATAAAACTAATAAAATTATTATCAGAAATATACTGAGGATACTTATAAACGAAATCAACTATTGTTCTCCATAATGTAGGAATTGTCTCGCTCACTTCTAAAAGTGCAATAGTAAATCCATAAGTAATATTGTTTTCTTTAATGAATTTAAAAGTGTCATATTCGATATCACATGTAAACTCAACACCAGGTTCTAATCTCCAATAATAATCATATTTTTCTATGAGTTCGTGACGAAAAAAAAAACCTGAATTGAAACGACACATATGGCGATATGACTCTGAATCTCCGTACAAGATACGTCTAAATCCCATCTCTCTACGTGTTTCGGCAGCCTTATTTTGGTCTATCCACGGTGGATAGCTCCACATGTGTTCTGGTATTAAACCTATAAACATAAATAATAAATTAAAAATAATTCCGTGATCTTGATATGGGGGAATTCAATTAAAACAGGTAAATTTTTTCTAAGTATATTTTTTTTTTAACTTAAATTGAATTATCTCAATAATCATCAAACCAAAATTAATAAAAAATATTTTTTTTAATTCTATATACTGTAATTATGGTACTAAAATAATAAAATTTTTATCAAATTTGGCCTGGTAGTTTCTTATATACAGTATCATAAATTTTTTAAAAGTTTTTTAAAAATAACACAGGTCGAATGAATGCAAATCGGGCACCAATCGGCATTATGTCCCCTATTTGCGCCAAATATCCGTTTCAAAGCAGGTTCATGTCGGGTTTACATAATGCCAATTGGTGCCCGATTTGCCTTCATTCAACTTGTGTGATTTTCCTGTTTTCGATATAGTAATCTTTGATACAACAATACTGGTATAGTAAGCCAGGGGGGAATGCTTATACTAACCATAATATGTTTTAGCACTTGTAAGAGCTGTTGTCATAGTCTTAAATTCTTGAGTAAACTCTTGATCATTAAGAAACACATAAGGATAATTATACTTTTTATTCCACCTATCTTCAAAAGATCTCATCGTTTTTCGTAATTGGTGTAATTCAGAGTTTCGAACAAGAACGATTATCACTGCATTAAGCCGTGTATCATCTTGCGTAAATATGACATTATCTAGTGTGTTGTTAACTTGCGTATTATTTAATTGAATTTCATCAACTTGAGTAATATTAAATTGCTTATCAACCTTATCATTAAGTTGAATATCAGTCTGCGTCTGCGTATTATTAAGCTGAGTATCGTCAACCTGCGTATCTTTAAGTTGAGTATTACCAACCTGCGTATCTTTAAGTTGAGTATCATCAACCTGCGTGTTTTCAAGTTGAGTATCATCAACCTGCGTGTTTTCAAGTTGAGTATCATCAACTTGTGAATCGTTAACGTGACTATTAATAACTTGCTTATCATGAGTCGTAATCTGAGTATCAAGCTGAGTATCAAGCTGAGTATCAGGCTGAGTATCATTTACTTGAGTACTATCTACTTGAATAACATCTACTTTCGTATCATCAGTTTTCGCGCCATTAACCTCCGTATTATCAATTTGAGTGTCATTAACTTGCTGAAGTGTGCTATTAACATTATCATCGATAGTATGTGTAAGTGTTAGATTAACGTGAGTAACAGTAGTACCTTTTTCGTTGGATTGTGAAGCTATGTCATTCAGATTGGTGTTCGGAGTTTCAAGTAATATCGATACACTGAGAATGTATAAAGACGTGAATATTGAAACAATTATAATAGTTCTTATTAATAAGGTACGAAAATGTAAAGAAAACCATAGTATCATTTCTATTTTTCTATTATATCGATATAAAAACAATCGAAATAAAGAAGAAAATGAATTATTGAATGATCTCTTTCACATCATTATTTATCAAATTATTCGTGTAACGTTACATTTCTTGTAAACGCCATGCTTCTTGGTATTGCCAAGAGTTAAGATAACGTTCTTAAGTTCTTCTTTTCTTCATATTCCTAATCTTTAGTTACGTCATTCAAATATACCGCAACGTCAAATAAATGTGTCTACATGTGACAATCTCTGTTTCTTTTCGAAAAATTTGGAAACTGGCAAACGATTCATCTATTACTATGTTGATGATTAATGCATGTATGCGCGAGTGATGTAGCACAAAGGTTGCAAAGTAACGGATAAAAGAAAAAAGTTTTTAAATTGTAAACTGTTTAAATTGTGGATACAAAAAAGGCTTTGGTTTTAATTGAAACATAAATAATCATGCCATCATATGAATGCATTAACTTTTTTTATCAAAGATTGATACGTACGTCAAGTAGCAAAAAATTATTACGTTTTTAAGTTATAAAATTACTTTAAACGTAAATGGTAAAATATATTGTTTGTAAAGCGTAATAAATTAAATTTGAAATTCTCGAATATCTTTTTCTTCCCTATTATATAAATTAAATTTTGATATTTTTTCCCATTATATGTATTAATGGTTTTAATTTCTTGGAGTGTGATCTACTGGTATAAACTATATAGAAATATTTATATAAATTCAAATTTTTGCCGTCATAAAATATCCAAATTTACACGTTTTTTGATGTTCAGATCATATTTATAAGAGGATCAGACTTTTAGTAAAAGCGCCAAAAATGTTAAACGATCATATATAAATGCCGAATTTTTAATATAAATAAATTCCTTACGATATTAGTGGTGGTCGTACCTTAAAATATGATAACTGGTTACCCGGATAACTGGATTATAAAATTGGTTAACGGATTAATATTAATATTTAAGATTCCGGTTAACTTAAAAGATAATATAATACAGTGCATATAGCGACACCAAAGAAAAATATAACCATTTTATTAAAGATTGTACCCTGGTAGACATTTTTATTACTGTATGGCTATAATAATTACCCGGATAACCGGATAATTTAATAATACCCGGGTAAACGGATACAATCTCTAACTTATATAATTGAAATCCCATTTCATTCGTATGATATTTACAGTATATCAGATCTTCGAATAGAAAAAAATGCAATTATTTGCATTTATTTAATATGCTAAACAAATGTGAAGATTTCTTGCTTCACCAGCAGTCATTCCACTTAAGAGGGAACCGCTAATTACAGTACAATTGAAATTCTCCTTATGAGCTTGAGCAAATGTCCCGAATTAGATTCCTAATAAAAAATTATATATGTACATAATGCAGAAGGCAAAAATGCTTTGTAGAAATTTATATCTAGCTTTTATAATTGAAATAAATAAATTAAAAGTCCAGATGATCGTTATAAAAATTGCATGACAGCGCAATTTTTATAGAGGTTATATCCGGATATAACCATTACCCTCTTACTTCGATAGGGTATGAAGCCGGTTATTGGATTTTATTATAGTTTATAACCTTTCGAGTGAAAGTTAACCGAGTAGACCACTATACGATATCTTAGTGAAAATTTATTATCAGATTCAACTTCTAGCGATGTTATTAAACCATCAAGCGCTTCGCCATAACAAAATAGACCTTAGGGGCATCCATAATTTACGTTAAACCACTACTGTATTGTATAGAAATAGAGACCTTGAAGATAATCTCATATACCGTAATTGTGCGTATACAAGACCCGGGTCTGGTACACCAATTTTAAAACCTTTAATAGACCCGGGGGTCTGTTGTACAGACATTGGTCTGATAATCGGGTGAGGTTTTTATGCGGGTGAGGTTTTTATGCAGGTGGGGCTTTTATGCACGGGGGTCTAGTAACACAATACAAAAAAAAAAAAACATTGGAACGGTGAAATACGGTAGATGTTAAATAAACTTATCTATCAGATACAGTGGCAAATCATGAAGTAAAGTGAATAATCTCAGCGATGGTTTAGTAAATAAATACCAGTATGTGTTATGCCAACCAAATGTTTTTATATGCGAAGATGTACTAAAAGCATAGAAACTTACACATGTCAAATCATTTAAATAGACGCACAACGCAGTTACAATACTCATCAAAAAAGACAAATATCGCAGATTTTGGACTACAAAACAGATAAATGAGACATCCATGGCTTCAAATTCAATTTTTCATGGAATGCTGGCATACATCGAACCTAAAATGCTTTATTAACCCTAAATATAAGCATAATAAGGAATCTGATGTCTACAACTTTGAAATAACCACCAAGCAGAAATCAGTCATTTCAATTCTTTGATTCAATTCATAATTTGTTTTATATCCTAAAGAAAAAAAGAAGAGCCATCGAAAGATATACTGCCTCAATATATTAAACTTCACAAGCAATGTTAGGACAATGGTCCTGATGTCTATTAACTATTATTATTTTATTGTTAAATATGAAGAGAGCTAATACCAGAATAATAAAAATGCGTTTTATAAAAATGCGAAAGAATGATAGCAAAATTGGTGAATATTAGTTAACGATTTTATGAGGATCTATGAGGTACCAGTACTGCCATTTTATACATACAGGTAATTGATTTATTAATATAATTAACATGTGCAAACTTTATTTTCTACGTATAATTTAAAAAGATTTTCGTGTTTTTTTTAATCCTGTCATGTCTTGAATAAATCAAGTTTTTTTAGCGATAAGGTAATGAAAATTTTATTTGTGTATAATTATATTATATAATATTTTTAATTTTTATATTTTTAGTAATAATATGTGACAAAATAAAACAAAAGAAAGCAATCGAAAGTCACTAAAAAAAAAAAAGAAGCTGGAATACACGTGAGAAATTAGCGATTGTTACATACCTTAAAAAAAATTTCATGGTTAGTAAACGAAGTGTCGCAACACAATTTAATATAACACCAAAACAATTATGTGAGTGGATTAAGAAAAAAATTGAATTAAAAAATGTTCCACCTTATGTAAAACAGTTAAATATTGGTGCGCGTCCTAAGTATCTGCTTTTAGAAGTTGATATTAAAAATTGGGTTAAATCTTTACGTTCACAACAAAAAATCGTGTCTAGACAAATGATTAGAACAAAAGCTAAACAACTTGCAAGTTAGCCACGTTTTGTTTCACTTTATCCAACAATCAACAAATGCAAGTAGGGCGAAAAGTGGGTAGATGGCTTTATGCGTCATAATAAATTTAGCAATCAGCGGCATACTACTGTAGCACAAAAATTGCCAGAGGATTTAAAACCTCTAAGGGATGAATTTTTAAGTAATGTACTATATCATCATATGCTTTACAATTATCCTCTTTCGCTCCATTAGTATTTGATGTACCTAGCAATTATACTGTTGAAGAAACGGGTGCTCATACTGTTTCAATCTGTACAACTGGATATGAAAAGTCCAATTTCACAGTTGTTTTAGGTTGTTTGGCTGATGGAACCAAATTGGTTTCTATGGTAATTTTTAAGTTAGTAAATGTACCTCGACAAACATTTCCTCAAGGTATTGTTGTAAGAGCTAATCCAGAA